CACTTCTCTTTTGAATGCTCCCGTTCGTGATCTGAAGTGTCTCATCTTTGCCTTGACGCATGATTCGCAGAAGGGATTTCGGTATCTGTGTGTAAGCAAATGAGCTATGGAGTTGGCGTCCTTCTTGAGGACTCCCACTTTCCTCGTTATTGATGATCCTTCGTACACGTCTACTTCGATTCCGGCATCTGGATCATCTTCATCAACCTCTTCCTCGTGAGCTTCGGCATCACCATGTCGATGCGGGACTGACCCAACATCTACAGGTATTTCCTCAGCCGCGGGAGGCGGACGTACCGGACCGGCTCCTCCGGGTGGCCCGAAGTCGAACGCTCCGTCGTGGTGTTCGCCCTCGGCCTCTGCGGACTCACCGACAGCGGCGGGCGTGACGTCGTTTTCATCGTCACCTCCCTGATCTGCCTCGTCGTTCGTTACCATCGCCAATACTTCCGAAAAGTGCTCCTTGAGGTCGTCTGTCGTAGGGCGATGCCTGTTACTTCGGAGCTTACCATCACTCACGAGGTATGGGATGTCGTCCTTGACCTGCAAGTGCACGAATCCCTGCTTTGGTGTAACCATGAAAGGTAGTTTACCAGGCATCCAGTGAAATGCATAACCCATCTTCATGCATCTCCTCCCTACTGACAATACGGTAGGTGTCTCATCCAATACATGCGGCTCGACAGTCTCGTCCACTCGTCCACGACTATCTTGGCCACATCGGATGTGGAAGTGGAACCATTCGCGGTCTGGAACACGATCTCGTCGTCATCTTTCACGATGTCGACGCCCAGGCTCTTTGCCTTGGCCCGTCCGATGAGATCATGACCACATCCGGTGTCCATCAACCATTTCACCCGTTTGCTGATGCACGTTGCCATGGCAAAAACGTTCTTCGGCATACCATGCTGCTTTTTCCAGTCGACGGCCGATTCCTTGATTTCGTCCTTGTTCCGATCATATTCGAACATTATACTGCTCTCCTTGGTCACCGGGAAGTAGTGCTTCTTATATATGTCATCCACCACTTCCCTCAGTATTTTTGCACGTATCAATGATTGTTGGACTTGATAGGCTGATAATTCACGATGATCACTGCTCTTGAACTTCTTCTCGTCGACGTACACGTACTGATAAGGCTCATTCTCATTGTCCTCATAACCGTACCACTCTCCTTTTCGTTCCCATTGCCTTCTCTCGTCTTCGAGGTAGGTGATCTCCCCATTCTCGTCGACGTCGAGCACTTCCTTGAACCACACCATTTTCTCGGGGATCTCGGACTCGCCAGACCATCTCGATGATTCACTCATCGCGTCGTCATTGTGCTCGTGGTAGACAGTCTCGGCTTCATCCGGTTCGACCTGATCAACGTCCTTCTTGAAGCTTACCTTCCCCGCAGGAGCCGATTGCTTCAGGACTATCGCGGGCATTGCGATGGCCCTCCTTGCAATAGCTGGCGCTGCGGCCTTGGCGGCAGCCTTCGACTTGGCTTGCGCCTTGTCATTTGACGTTGCTGGAGCTGAATTGTTCTTGATGAGCTCATGCCTATACGTGCAAGCGCTCCCCTTATCGCACTTCCCCTTCTGAAACGCGAAGCATGCTCCATCATCTCTCTTTGGTGACGATGATCTGGACTTGGATTTGCCCTTTCCTTTCCCCTTGGACATGCTCTCCAACTTGTGCTCCGTCTTCTTGCTGTGGGAAAAAGTGCATTCATGTCCTTTCACGCACCCCTTCGCCGATTTGAAGTGGTACCAGCAGGGGTTATCCTTGCTTCCGCCCGGACTCTTGCCTCTGTCGCTGGCACCGTCGGACTTGCCGTTCTCGCCAGCGTGGCCCTTTGCCTTGGCTTTTGGGAGCACAGGAGCGGCATCAGGTCCACCGGGTTTCCCCTTTCTGCCCTTGCCACCCTGATTCTCCTGTTTGCCAGTTGCTGGAGCCGCATCCTTCCCGCCTGATTTCATCATCGACTTGACCGATTTCTCCTTCATGTCGAGCATCAGGTCTTCCCGATCTGCCTTGATCTGATAGTCGATCAACGCCAATAAGAATTCATACGTCTTCTGAGGATGCTTGTCCGGTAGTCTATGGTAGGCATTGAGGCCGAACTCCATCTTCTTGCTCCCTTTGATCTTCCTGTAGAGGATGTCTCTGAGAGCCAGTTTACTGGGCCTGTCCTCGCTCCTCATCTTCAGCAGCAAATCATACCATTTGTTCCTGAACATAACCAAGTTCTTGTCGCCAGGAAAGTCAAGGTTGAATAGGTGCTCGATGTGGTAGACAAGATCCGTTCTATCGGATGTTCTCAGACTTTGGACCATCTCCTCCTCGTTGAACTTCTCGATAGATGTAGAAGATTCTATGCCTCTGATCTGTTGCTGATAAACTGATATCTGTTGTGAAGCTTCACGGTGTATCTGATTTGCACGTATAGCTGATTCCTGCGCAGCCGACTTCTCGCTTGCCATGTAGGATTTCATCAATGTAATCTCCCGCTTTTGCTCCATGATAGTTCCTTCAGCTTGTCTCATCTGTTGCATTGTAATATTCGACTCCATGTCTTTCTTCTCCCCGTACTGAAATGCGTTCATTTCTACCTTGCGCATCTGTTGGGCTTCCTCCTCAAACTTGCGCCATGCCTCAGCCATGTGGTGTTGGTGGTGACTCACTAGATGTCCTGACGGCTTACTAGCAATCTCGCATCGTCTCTCCAGCTCTTGGATCCGGATGGTGCTCCCATAATCTTCCTGATGAAGATTCGCCATAGCTGCCGACATTTCATCAAGTGTCTTTTGATACTCCCCGATCTCCACCTCCATCTTATTCTTCTCTTTGATCGCGGCGCGAAACTCCGCACTGGCGGGTGATTTTGACCTCCCACCCTTCGATGTCGATCTCACGCCCTTCTGCGACGTCCGTGGTGTCGCAGGCGAAGATGATGATCTTCTCGGTGGGGATTCTCTTTGCTTCGATTCCTGACGAATATCGATCTGCTTCCATGATCTTGTGGGAGTAGATATGTCGCTGAATAGCGCGGAACCTCCGCTCCCAGGTTCATCCTGTGAATCTGCAACCATATCCATCACCGCAGGAAGAGCCATCAATCCATTGGATCCCTCTGATCTGCTGTTCCCAAAAGTTGCAGTACTTGGGCTCGCCGAAGACGCCATTGTACTGTGTAGGTTATCGTTCCTTTATTGTCCCTGTACCCGCAATAAACCAGCTGTCTCCCAGTCCAGTGTAGAGCTTGTAGATACGGCTGAGAACCTGTCAAGAGACGGCAAGGTGACGTCCCGTGGGACGCTATGCACCGAACCCTCAAGCTGTAATACCAACCACGTAGAAAGGTGTATACGGACGATGCCGTTATAGCCGAACCCGTGTAAACGTTGTAAGGGAAAAGGAATGATAGTCACACCAGTGGTCCTGACAAATGCAGCGCAAGCGAAGTGTTTTCCGCTCTCAATGCCGATCACGAATGTATGCAGTTACACATCAGATCTTGAACCTCAATTGTGTCTTGAGCCAAATGGCGATCAATGGAACTTGGGAAACAACACCAACAAGGACCTCAGAACAGCTTCCCAATTTCGGCACGGGGCCTAGAGGGTTTTAACAGGAAACTTGTAGTACTTTGAATCATGTTTTTTTGGGGTGTAGAGGCAACCCTAGCAAAATCCTGATTTTCCTGAGTTTGCCCGTGCGCGCAAGCCACCTTCAAAACATTTGGTTGGAGTGGAGGCAAGGTTGAAGGTTGACAAAAAAAAAAGACAAGTCTGCACGAGCGCCCCAAGTCTCTCGGACGACGTCAGTAAACCCTTTTTTTGGAAAAAAACAGCTTTGAGGCGTTCTTCAAGGTGAGGGGAATTCCCGGAGCCTGAGAAAGCCCTTTTTTGGGTTAGGGTTTGGGGTGCTCGGGAAACCAACGGGTTGGGCGAACCAATCAAATGAGCGGGGCTGGCATGGGCAAACCGTGCAAAAAAGACCGTGCAAAAAAAATGCTATTCTTACAGGGTGTACATGTATGTACGGCCTGGAGGAATAGCATTTTGTGGCGCAAAACCGTGCAAATGTCCCTTTAGGGTTTGGGGTCCTCGCGAAACCAACGGGGCTGGCAACTTTCCAGTACTTTTTTGAGCCAAACCGCGCGTTTAGAAGATGGGCCCCAAGAAAAAACACAGCCGCAGTGCGGTTGGGGGGGGGGGCAAGGAATCGCGCAGACCCCCATAGTTTGCAAGAAGAAGGGGGAAAGTGCGACATGACCGTTGACTGCTGGACATCTCAAGAGAAGGAAAAAAAACGTCACATCTCGCGCTTTTTGCGCTGCTCAAAAAAAAAGCATCTGCACCACAAGTCTCCGCTCCTCGTTGAAGCCTGGGCAGGCCGTTGCGACAGCTGAGACAGCTGAGACACTCTGGGCTCATGAGAAAAAAAAACGTGAATGTCTCAGTTGTCTCTGGACTTTTTTCTGGGGTGTGGACAAGGCTTGAGGCCGCTGAGAGCGACACCTGGCACACACACAGACCAAGACCCGGTCCCTCAAAAAACAAATGCAACAAGAACAGGCAGCGAACCACAATGAATGGACTCATGAGACACTGCCAGCCCCTGGGGTGTGGACAGGGCTTGAGGCCGCTGAGAGCGACACCTGGCACACACACAGACCAAGACCCGGTCCCTCAAAAAAAAATGCAACAAGAACAGGCAGCGAACCACAATGAATGGACTCATGAGACACTGCCAGCCCCTGGGGTGTGGACAGGGCTTGAGGCCGCTGAGAGCGATACCTGGCACACACACAGACCAAGACCCGGTCCATCAAAAAAAATGCAACAACAACAGGCAGCGAACCACAATGAATGGACTCCCTGGCAGTTGTTTTTTTCTGTTCCTCCTGTACCAGCGGGATCCTGTACCAGCGGCATCAAGCTCGACTGTGATGCGTTCACATATCACGGGCGTGCCGAGCTTGCATCAGCGTTCCCGGTGCTCAATTTCACGCCGCTCTCAATGGGGTCCTTGCCGCCATCTGCCTTGGGAAAGCGGTAGAGCAGCACGTAGACATTCCGGCGCTTGCCATCGACACCCAACACCGTCTTGGTGCGTTTCTCCACCAGGCCAGCCTGCTTCAGAAGATCCGCGCAGGACCACTTGCGGCGCTTGCCATTCACCTCCACCGAGATCTTGCCCTCCTCCATCTTGGTCTCCAGGTGCTTCTGCAGGGCGCTGTAGATGTCGGCCGCCGGGGCCCCTGCCGTCAGCCGTGTAGCCCGCTCCAAGCGCACCAGCACGAACTCCTTGCTTGTCGTGCCGAGGTGGGGGCGCAGCGACTGTGCCACACTGCTTGAAGGGTTCCGCAGAGAAATCCCAGCGCGTGGAGACCCTCACCTCGTTGCTTTCTGTTGGCCAGGTTGTGTGGTAGTGCCCCAAGTCTCGCTGGGCAATGATCTGCATGCAGCTTTTCAAGGAGTCCATGGCAGAATCTCCGGTGATGATCCACTGCAGGTGCTGGCATGAGTACCATGCCTTGTGCCCTGTGTCCACCAGTATCTTGAAGATCTGGGTGATGCCGTAGGGGATGTTTGTGTTGACTGCCGGGGAGCGAAGCATCACCTCTGCGAACAGGCCGTGATGCGCAAGATTCCCCGCGTAGGCCTGGCAGATCAGGTGGTGGTGTGTCCGCCATTCCTCGTCCTTGAGGTGCCAGAGATGCTCCAGCGGGCCCTGGCACATCACAAGCTTTGCCTTCTCCAAGGCCTTCTCCACAGAGGGCGTTGGCTGCAGGGTGTACGGGTAGTTCACGCCAAGGGCGCACTGCATGTCGCGGTTGAACGTCTCGAACTCCTCCGCCGGCAAATGCACAAACAGGCCGTCGTGCTCCAACGCCAGAACCGTGCCACCCCTCTCCTTGGCAGTGTTCAAGGCATACTGCAGGTACTCTGCCGGTCGAGGCGTCACCTGCTTCAGCTTCTTCATCTTCTCCGCGCTGGCGCCGCAATCGGCCTTCCTGATCTGCCGCATCTCCAAAGCAAAACGCGCTGCCAGCGGCTCAGTGGCAAAGGTGTCGATGTTGTGCACCTTCTTCCAATTTTGGACCGAGCCGCCATAGAGGAGCCTCAGAAACAGGTTCTTGGCAGTGCCCCTGTCTGCGTGGGTCTGCTGCAACACGGCCTCCCTATTCTGGCGGTACTCCAACAGCGCAGAGCCTTCAGCAGGTGCCTCTCCAGCAGTATGTTGATCTGGGCGTTGACCAGGTCAAAGACAAAGCAGTCCTTCAGCCCAGCCCGCAGCACATCCCTCAGGAAGCGAGGCAGGCAGAAGATGCTGGTGCCAAGGTGGCAGGGAGCCAAACCCCGGAACTTGCCCAAGCCGTGCTGGACCTGCTTGGGCGTGAGACGGCCAGAGTGACGACGGCCCTTCATGCCCAACTCAACCATCCCCTTCTCCTCTATGAACACGGCCTTGAAGGTCTTCACACAGCCGCGCGAGCACTGCGCGGCCACGTCACCAAGGACACGGAGCACAGTGGGTCCGTGAGCTCCAGTCCGACGCACCTTGCTGATTTGCAAGCTGCCTAGGGCGGGCAACCGGGTTGACGCGGTCAAAGTACACCACATCCCCGTCAGCAACTGCCTCCATGTCTCCAACATAGCGATCGTTCTCATCGCTACTCACGGGAGCGTAGGTGTCCACCTTCACCTCCAAGGCGCGTGCGTCAAACATCCTCTGCCTCTCCATGTCCTGTCGCTCAAACTCGCATGCGTCATTGGCCTGGGGCGAAGCACCAGTGACTGGACCTGCCTGCTCGCTATCAAGGTCCTCCTCATCGCAAAGTGCCGGGATGCTGTTCATGAGCGCAGAAGCCACGCCATAGTTGATGTCGCACCATGACTGTGCGTGGCAGGCTTTGAGCAGCCTTTGCAAGGTGACAGCTTCTTGGCCCTCGCCTTTACTGCGATTCTGGACCACCCCCGCCAGCAGCACCGCCAACCTGTCCATGTTGAGGGCCGCTGCCTGCAAAGACCTCCACTGCTCCTCGAGCTTGTCATCGAACTCCATGGCCTTGTAGATGCCCTGCCACGCCTCCAAGTCGCCGGCCTGTTGCATGTAGCCAGCAAGATAGCGAGCTCTGTCTTGGTCCGTGTCCAAACGACCCACTATTCTGCCTGACAGCTGCTCTGCCTCGGGGTCGCCAGACAGGGCCGCCCGTTGCAGCGCTTCCCAGTGCTCCATGGTCAGTCGCTGCTGCACGAGAGCAACAAAGCCAAAACTCGAGCCCGACACCGGTGCCCAAAAAAATGTTCTCACATGTCTCAAGAGCACAAATGCCGTCTGACTTGTCACAATTGCCTCTCACATGTCTCAAGACGCCAAGATTGAGGTGATGCGAACTACGACGCACGCAGTTCCCCACCTTGTCTGATAGCCGTGGCAGCGAAGAAGATCATCGTTTCCGGAAACTCAAGGTCATTGAGACACGTGAGACACTTGAGACACTGACGCACGATACTGGTCCAGGGCCTGGGCAGAGCTCGAGGCTGCTGAGACACCTGAGACAGCTGAGACACTTGAGACAGCTGAGCTGCATGATAAAAAAGGCGAGTGTCTCAGTTGTCTCAAGTGTCTCAGGGGCAGCCGGGCTGTTCTGGTGCAAAGGTGGCCATCAGCAGCCCGGCGCAGTATTGCGGGCTGAGGCTGAGGCGGGGCACCAGGATCCGAGGCTCCGGAGGAGCACGAGGTGCTGCTGGCACGAGATCTTCCTGAAGCTGCTAAAGGCAAAGCGGGGCGCTCCATGTTCCTGTGGTGAGGCTAAGCCTTTGTTGTGCCTTCTTTTTTTAGAAAAGCCTGGTGGAAGTGCCCCCCCCCCCAAAAAAAAGAGTTACTGGTGGGATGCACCCCAAAAAAGTCGCCCCAAAAAAAAAGGCACTGGCGGAAGTGCACCCCAAAAAAAGCACTAGCGGAAGTGCATCCCAAAAAAAAGGACTAGTGCGCCCAAAAAAAAAGGCACTGGCGGAAGTGCGCCCCAAAAAAAGGCCTGGCGGAAATGCGTAAAAAGGCACTGGCGGAAGGCGCCCCAAAAAAAGGCACTGGCGGAAGTGCGCCCAAAAAAAGGCACTGGCGGAAGTTCTGCGTGTGGCGCAACGCGCCCATGTGCTAAGCTTGCAGGGCGACCAGGTGGACAGGCGTGAAGGAGCACGTGTGCTTCTTGGCCTTTGACGGGCACTGCTACATGTACAGGCGCGCGTGCTCTACCGGGGCAAGGCAAGGCAGACCCTCCGCAGGCCGATCTTAAGTGTCTTGCCCCCTGGCATCGGACCGCACTTGCCCCCCCCCCCTCTTCTCCAAAAACAAAAACTATTAGCGGGACAATCCATACAAGCACCAAATTTAGAAAGGCGCACCAACCTTTTTTGGAAAGGGGTCACTTGTTGTTGCTTCCACCAGCGCCCTTTTTTGGAAAGGAAGTCAAGGGGCAATGCAGAAAGCAATGGCGCGGACAGTGTCGGAATGCCGCAACTTCTCACTTTTCACTGGAACAGCAACTAATGACTCTCGCAAAAAAAAAACATGTACCTTGCGCTTCATCTCCGACAGCTCTCGCTCCAGCTTCTTCTTGGTCTTCCGTCTTGTTAGCTGCAAGCCCGCAAACAACGCCGGTAGAAGTTATTCCACTCTTGTTCAAGGCCGCTGCCTGCCATGTTGGTCTTGCACAAGTGTCAGCTGCTGCCTCAAGGGTCGTTGTGTGGCGCAACTCCATAACCTGCTGTTTCAAGCTACTTTCTTACGCTGCGCCCTCCCTCCAGCTGCCAAAGCCGACCCTTGCCCTCTGAGCTTCCGTTCTCCTGCAGCTGCTGCACGCCTCCTGCGTGCCTTCTTACGCCTACGCGGGCGGCTTGTACGCCGTGTGACCACTAGTTGTCAACAATTCAAAAAACCACGCCACTGCAAAAACATGAGTTTCAAACTTCCGGGCCTCTTGACCAATCCTGCGCTCGCCTGTCTGCGTCTTGAAATACACTCTCCGGAGCCTTGCACTTGCCCTTTTATAACCTGCAAGGAAAAAAACTAGAGGCTTGACAAATGGCGTGCTACGCGAGCACTTCCACCAGATTTTTGTTTGGGGGGTCACTTCTGCCAGTGCCTTTTTTTGGGGGCACTTCCGCCAGTGCCTTTTTTGGAAGCGCACCTTCTTGACGGAGATCCAAGGCGCCAGTGTGGCGCAGCATAGCGTCAAAGTTGGCACACTTCTCTACGCGTGCCGGTGATCATTCGGGGCGGGCAGCGGCGGAACGCAGGCGCGCGCAGAACTGGCTGCCGGTGAACAAGGGGCGGCCATAACAAGGCACCCGGCGCACCTTACAAGAGCAGGGCTCAGAGGTCAGGCACAAGTGGAGGCCTTGCTGCAATCCGGGGGCCCGATTCAGCTTTTGAAACTTGGACAAGAAACTTGGACAACTGCGGGCGTGTTACAAGTTCTCTTAGATTACCCCCAATTCCAGGCAGGCCCAATTCCTGTGCTCTCTCTTTAGAGGTTACAAGCTCTTAGTGTTACGCCCCGATTCCAGCAGGACCCGATTCCGTGCGCCCCACCCCGGCGGCAACCCAAACTTGGACAAGAACTTGGACAAGGAACTTGGACAAATTTTATCACGTGTTTTCCTCTTGTATTCTACCTGAGCACTCGTCCGTCCAGCATTTGACCTTGTCCTGCAAAGGATTCGAAGTCTAAAACGCTGCGTGGCGTGGGCTGCAAAATAATGCCCCTAGATATGTTGCAATTTGGCTCAGGTTCATTTCAAGCAAGCCAACCAGGGGTTCCCGAAAAAAAGGGAAAAGGGGTTTCCTTTGGCAAAGGTTGACATCGCTTAAAATGCAACCTGGAGCCAAATTGCGGCCATTCTAAAGGGTCATTATTTTGCAGCCACACCTGCACGCAGCGTTTTAGACTTTGAATCCTTTGCTTTGCAGGACAGGTCAAATGCTGGACGGACAGTGCTGGAAGGTAGAATAGAATCCATTTGGAAAACGTCCAAGTTCCTTGTCCAAGTTCCCCGGGCGAACTTGGACAAGTGGCTCTGCAAGAGGAAAACACGTGATAAAATTTGTCCAAGTTCCTTGTCCAAGTTCTTGTCCAAGTTTGGGTTGCCGCCCGGGTGGGGCACACGGAATCGGGGCCTGCCTGGAATCGGGCGTAACACTGAGAAGCTTGTAACAGCAGCCCGCAGTTGTCCAAGTTCCTTGTCCAAGTTCCCGGGCAAAGTTGGACAAGTGGCTTTGAAGAGGAAAACACGTGATAAAATTTGTCCAAGTTTCTTGTCCAAGTTCTTGTCCAAGTTCGGGTTTCCGCCGGGGCAACGCACGGAATCGGGGCCTGCCTGGAATCGGTAAACGGCAGCCCGCAGTTGCCAAGTTCCTTGTCCAAGTTCCCCGGGCGAACTTGGACAAGTGGCTCTGCAAGAGGCAAACAGTGATAAAATTTGTCCAGGTTCCTTGTCCAAGTTCTTGTCCAAGTTCGGGTTGCCGCCCGGGGTGGGGCGCACGGAATCGGGTCCTGCCTGGAATCGGGGCGTAACACTAAGAGAGCTTGTAACACGGCAGCCCGCAGTTGTCCAAGTTCCTTGTCCAAGTTCCGGGCGAACTTGGACAAGTGGCTCTGTAAGAGGAAAACGTGATAAAATTTGTCCAAGTTTCTTGTCCAAGTTCTTGTCCAAGTTCGGGTTTCCGCCGGGGCGAGGCGCACGGAATCGCGTCCTGCCTGAATCGGGGCGCTCCTGCTCGGATACTTATACTATTCTTTTTAATAACAAGACAACCAGAAGAAGAAAATATTAGGGTTGCCAGATCGGCAATTTCTGCAAAAAACCACTCGAATCGAGGTGATTTGGTTCCGAAGCGATGTGAAGGACAGCCACCTGATTCTGGAACCGTGGCAGCACCTTTGCTCCTTGCTTTGAATCCATCCGCCTGAACCGCCGCATACAGGTATCACAGCGTTCACTTCAATTTGCACTAGTGTACCGTCAACTGGGGAGAAGGCACCTTTGCTCCTTGCTTCGGCTGATGCGGCATGAGCCAGACCATCCAGATGTTGCAGCGTTCACTTCAAATTGCACCAGCGCGCTTCAAAAGAACCAGGGAGGAATCGAACCCCTTACCCTTCACCTCCGGAAGCTGCGCCTTTGCCAACTAGACTATGGCCTCCTGCTCCCTGGGTGTGGCTGGTGCGTGTCTTCGCGCCATCAGGTGGTGCTAACAAGGCAGCCTGCAGTTGTCCAAGTTCTGTCCAAGTTTGTTGGGGGAACCTGAACTTGGACAAGAACTTGGACAAGGAACTTGGACAAATTTTATCACGTGTTTTCCTCTTGCAAAGCCACTTGTCCAAGTTCCCCCGCCGAACTTGGACAAGGAACTTGGACAACTGCTGGCTGCCTTGTTATTGTCTGCGTGGGCCCAGGCGGGAGGGGCGCTCCTCTTTTTAATAACAAGACAACCAGAAGAAGAAAATATTAGGGATTCTCCTCCGGGGGGAACCTGAACTTGGACAAGGAACTTGGACAAATTTTATCACGTGTTTTCCTCTTGCAGAGCCACTTGTCCAAGTTCCCCCGCCGATGGACAAGGAACTTGGACAACTGCAGGCTGCCTTGTTATTATATACCTGGAGCCAGCCTGGCATCGAAGCCTCCCTGCACCTGCCCGGCATCGGAGCCGCGCCAGCCCGCCGAGTCATACGGATCATACGGATCATACGGTCATACGGTGGCGGTTTGGCACTCCGGGTGCGGAATTGGAGCCTCCACCCTGGCGCGCCACCTGCCCGGCATAGAAGCCTCTCCCTGTTGAAATTCTCGTCATTCATCGCAGACCACTGCCGCGCCACCTGCCCGGCATAGAAGCCTCCACCCGGCCGCGCCACCTGCCCGGCATCGGAGCATCCGCCGCGCCGCGTTCTCAATCCTGTGGCCAACGCAGGATTGCTCCACTCAATCCTGCGGCCAACGCAGGATTGCTCCACTCAATCCTGCGGCCAACGCAGCCCACGCAGGATTGCTCCACTCAATCCTGTGGCCAATACAGGATGCCGTACTGCTGGCATACTGAATGGTACTCAACTGCGCTCGTGGCAGGAATCGAGCCCCGTGCGGAGTAAGAAGCGCTTAGCTCCTTGGACTAAGGCGTCGGCGACAACATATGTAAACATGTTTGAAGGACCTGTCACCGGCAACATCCCG